TGTTCTCTACTTTACTTGGAAATTTATATTTGTTATCACTACATGCAATAATTAGAAATTTGTACATGTTTTTTTTTTTTTTTTTAATTAGGATATGTTTGCGGCGGGAACTCACACAAGCTACACAGTTCTTGAATGGGCAATGGCAGAGCTGATACAAAATCCCAAAATCATGAAAAAATTACAAAATGAGGTAAGAACAAAATTTAAAACCAACGAAGACATAGAAACCATGCAATACTTGAGAGCGGTAATAAAGGAAACTCTTCGGCTTCATAGTCCTATACCATTGCTAGTCCCTCGGAAGGCAATCCAAGATGTGAAGGTGATGGGCTTCCATGTGACAGCCGGCACTCACGTGCTTGTTAATAGTTGGGGAATTGGAAGAGATCCAACAATATGGGAAAACTCTGAAGAGTTTAAGCCGGAGAGGTTCTTGAATTCTAATGTGGATTATAAGGGAATGCATTTTGAATTGATTCCATTTGGAGCTGGGAGGAGGGGTTGCCCTGGCTTGGCTTTTGGGGTTACTACAATTGAGCTTGCATTGGCTACGCTCATACGTGAGTTTGATTTTGCAATAGGAGAAGAAAAATTGGATATGAATGAAGGAATTGGTATTACATGTCCCAAGAAAATTCCTCTCGTCGTAATCGCTACTCCGATGGTTAACTAGAGTACACATTTGCCCTAGTTAGTATTAAATTAAATGTGTTTTCAATTTGACATTCTAAATGTCTTGTAGTAATATTTGGCCATGCATGCTCGGACAAATTTTAATATTGTTATAAATATTTTGTGGTGTATGGTCATTGATGAATATATTAGAAATGGCCCAATAATAATAGAGACCTGGGTCCGAGAATGTATAACCCAAGCAGCCCAAGAAGAGTCTCAAGTCTGGAGCCTGCCTCCGAGGCCCAAAACGATGGGTCTTGATTTAGTCTCGTGGGCCCACCATGTGGGCCTAGACTTAGTCTTGTGGCCTACCACGATTTTAGAGAAGTTTGTTGGCCCTTATCTTGTATAAATTAGCCTAGAGCGATTATTACAGGATGAGGTCTCACTATTACAGTCCACTTGTAATGTCTTACATCAATAAAAGGAAATATTATTGCAATTATATTGTTCTTCTATTTTACTACTTTTATATTATACGCGAGATTATTGACCCATATAATTACATACCCCGGGGTCAATTTTCTCCATCATTGGTGCTCTTGTTGACAGCTGATGTACAAGCTCGAGCGTGCTCTCTACTTTTGGTCTATCATGACTACCACGATCAACAATAGTGCAGTGAGATCCACCTTTCACAAAATATCTAGATTTGTACAGAATTTCCATTCATCAATTTACAAGACAATGGATATATGCCCATTGCATCATTAGACAATATTAGATCATCCCCGCTGCTTCTTGCCGTCACCATAGAGCCTCAATTTTCTCAGCTCCTCAGCAATTCAATCTCCGTGATTCGGCAAGCCTTTACGAGCCTCAACCTTCGGTTCTGGCCTCAAGAAATCAATCACTACTTGCACGCGACACCTCACCCTACGGCCATCGTAGCTGAGGGTATTGCATCTCGAGTAGTTGTCATTGTCCATAAAATGGGCACTGGTTGCAATGGCGGGGAGTTTCGACACATACGTTTCTCGAATCTTGACGAGGGATCGTTGCAGAGGTTGCTAGACATGTTCGGTTGCGACGGCGCGGATGATCCTGGCTTGGTTTACGACATGAGAGCAGTAAGATATGCAACCTCTGTTCACCCGACTACACCGCAAACTAGCCCCGGGGTCCCCGACTGCCAATTCCCCTAGGATTGAGAATGGATTCTACGAGAAAAAATCCCAGGCTCCAGAGCCACCATTCCGGCCAAGTTCGGCACCACCCTTGGCACCGGCAACTGCATCTTCACCATTTTTTCGGATTTGGCTAGATCCGGACAGATTGTGTATTACCTCGCTGCACGCCACATCAGAAATCCACCTTTCCGCCGATCGCAACGTTCCCGCGATCCATTAGAGGATAATCATCCACTTCGCCGGGCATTTCTACTTCTACCACGTCGAAGCCGCCGCAGCCGACGGCGCCCTCGATCACCTCGTCGCTGCCGCCGCATCATCACCAGCCGATGCGAATAGATGATGCGAATAGATGGATGCAGAATTATATTTCCATTTACTTGTTTTTCTATGCTGCTTGGGTTTATTAAAGCTCTTCTTTTCTTGCAAATATGTGAATTACAAAACCCATATGATTATAATTGTTCTACTGTGGACCTTATACGTCATTTCAAGTTGCAGCCTTATAAAATTTGCATGATATTAAATTATTTTAGATATGTCTATGTATGGCTAATGTCATATCTTTGTATAAATTATTATTTAACTTAACGATGTTGGTTACAAATGAATGTTTGTACGAAAGGGAAAAAAAATAATGATGTGGAGTGATATAAAGCGAGTTTTGTAGCCCCCTATATAGAGTCATAATT